TTTTAGATAGTTGACGTAGTGTACTAGTGATAAAAGATTTTTTAAATTTTGTTTCTGAACAAACGTTGATTATCACGTGTGCTTCACTAATTTGTTTTCATCATTACCAAATAACCAAAGGCTTACTTGACATTATTACAGGATGAAGGAACGTTTCTGCCAGGAATTTACTGAATGTACTTGTATACACTACGATGAAGTAATAACTTGAAACTGTTTGATTGAAAATGTTGTGATTTATTGTCTGATTTTGAGGAAAGAGGCTGGTGGGTGTTTTGGGAGAGGGGTGCATACACTAGGTAGTTGTGATGTGGCTTTCCATACGTGTAGTGTTTTTCCCAGAACGTGACTTAACAGCCTGCAGATAGATAAGGAAAATACAATTTTTTATGTATATTTTTAAACTATATTACATGATGTGTGCCCAAGAGGTTTAATCCAATCAGCGCAGTAATCTAAATGCGTCATTAGGCTCAATTTTATCTTGATTCTAGAAGCCGGAGACAGGCAGGTTTTGTAGAAGACAAACGTTTCACCGACTACTCAAGTGATTTGTCTTAGTGGGAGGTGGGTGGGCCCCTAAGAAGGAAGCTAGATTCTATAAATTGTTGCATTTATTTTCTTGTGCTGGTGCCACGTGTAGTGTAGGCCACTGATGGCGCTAAGACAAACGTTAGCATGTGTGATTACGTCACTTACAGGTTCGTTAAAACGTGGGGACTGTTGTATGTAACTTTTATACAATTCGTATTAGAAATTGATAATGTTTTTTTTTAAAAGAAGTTTAGTGTATTTTGTATTCACCATTTAACACCAGAATAATTAATATACGTTTATCATTAAGAAATTCCCAATATAATCCTGTAATCTTTAATATATTTCATATCAAGGACAGCAAGATTAACGCACAGTAGTTCGACACTTTCAGAGGTAAATGGTTTTTCCTGGGAAAAATATTTCGGGCGATGTAAATACTGATGGATAGCAAACCAGGATAGAACTCGCGAGTTTCGGTTTGAGTAATGTCTCATTTACAAACGGAGCACAACTCATGACCGTTCTTCTCACTGTTTCTAAATATGTGGTAAAACGTTATCATCACCTCGGAACAGTCTGTTTTTGGTGTTTTTTTTTTGTTTTATATTGGTTTTGTAACGAGTCGGATATTACTTATTTTTTATTGATTAATACAAAAACACGTTTGTTTATAGCATAGATTGTTCTTTAATTTTATATTGTTGATATCATTTAGTATAGGACGTGTGTCGAAGTATTCCATTAAATGTTGATTTTTTTTAGCTTGATTTGGAAAACTGAATAGGCCAACTGGCCACCGTTTTTCATTTTGACGAGCAATCTGCTTGTTAAGATTATCGGTTTGTGTTACGCCTAGATCATTTTTATTTTCCCGCCTTTGCCTATTTCTTATTTATTTTAGTTGCTTTGCATGTAGTATATGAAGTTAAAATGTAGTGTTTTTATTTATTTGATTCGTAATTTTGCAATGTTTTCAGCATGTAAACTTCCAGCTTTTCCCCCTCTTTTATTTCAGATAAGAGTGTGACGATACACCCTTCAACAATTCCGGTAAGTTAGGCCAGCTGGTGATTGGGACTGCTGAGACTTGGAAAGTGCGCGCGATGCAGTATGTGTTTTATATATCTTCTGTGCGGTTGGCCTCGTGTTTCTTTGTTTGTTTGTTGTTATTTTTTTTTATAACGGTACGATCATTGACTAGTCGTCTTAAGACATAGTATGGGCATTGTGACGTCGTAGGAGCTCTAGCTGATGACGTACGACTGCAGTGACTATATTATTCAATATGATAGGATGCTTATCCTACTGCTGAGACGATATATAGTCAACTATGATGATGTTTTGCAGCGTACAGCGGCCGCATATGTGCACAATCATATGGACTGATCTTTTTGTTTTTTTTTCAGGTTTGTGAAGTATGTTTCAATGATCTCCCTCCATGATGCACATGTATGTATGTATGTATGTATGTTCCGTTGATGTATTTGTTCACGAAGTAATGTAAAGATGAAATTCATATTAAAAACTTTATATTGCAGTAAAGCCAGCTTCTGTCTTTGTATTGTATTTTTAATACATGCTTTAATTTTTTATAAAAATCGTATTCTGATGCATTATTTATCATTGAACATTCACCTACCTTCAATATTGGTTACGTATATTTTTAGCCGCGGCATAGTGGCTCATAAAACAGCTCTGAGTTTTTTTTTTCTTTTTTCAAGTACAAACTTTTAGCCCATAGCTCCGTCATCTCTTGACCGATTTGAGATCTAACTACAGTTTTGGATTCACGAGGTCAAACCCTTTCGATTGATATATTTGACCACGTCTAAGGCCTCATAGATAAATTTACTCTAAATTCTCCCAAAAATAATTCAATTTGAGGGTAAGCTGGTAGAGATCCTGACAAATAATGAAATCGAATCGGGAATACGCGCGCCCCACGCTTGGTATTTCTGGCGCACAAAAATATAGCTAATAAAAAGGAATAAAAGTTCTTGTAGATTAATTTACTCTAATCTTGCCTAAAAGAATTTGAAGTGTCGCGGATATTGAAGATCCCTCTTGTTAGTTCTGCAACACAAAGTCTACGAGATTCTAATATATCCAACGATATATAATGTATTAATTATTATAACAGTTATTTGTTAATGGTTGTTTTCTTTGTTATTACTAACATACATTTAGTGCCTTTTCTTTCACTTTTTTTTTAACCACAACTGGATTGAAAAGGCTTAACAAGTTAATATTCTGTATAATGAACTTAGCTAAGCCTACACTGATTGAAAATGCAGCTCAGAAAGTCGTGATGTGGGGTTTGGTATTCATTTTGAGGCAGAAAGTATCACGTATTTGTAACATTGTTCATGTTACAAAACAAGATCCCTCAAACTAATCACATCTAACTATCTAACTGGGATCTTGTTTTGTAACATGAACAATGCAAACGTCAAACTAATCACATCTTACTGGGATCTTGTTTTGTAACATGAACAATGCAAACGGTGATAAGTTTGACGTTTGCATTGTTCATGTTACAAAACAAGATTCAAATTACATGTGATTAGTTTGACGTTTGCATTGTTCATGTTACAAAACAAGATTCAAATTACATGTGATTAGTTTGACGTTTGCATTGTTCATGTTACAAAACAAGATTCAAATTACATGTGATTAGTTTGACGTTTGCATTGTTCATGTTACAAAACAAGATTCAAATTACATGTGATTAGTTTGACGTTTGCATTGTTCATGT